TCAGAAACTGACTATTAATGAAACGATCAAGAGGTAAACATGACAAAAAAAAATCCATGGATTTAAAAATAATTTTATTTTGTATTTAAAACTTAAATTTGTGAAAAGAATTCACCCACAAATGATATTTTTATGTGTCTTTGGAACATTGGATCTCTTTACCAAAAGAATCTCTTGGAAAATGACCAAAATGTCATGTCTTGTTTTCTTTTAATTTTTTAAATCTTAACTTTTCTAAAATTTAATCTAATTTTGTTTGTTACTAACAATCAATTTACCCACTAATTGGGAAAAAAACAAAACATGCTTATCCACATTTTTTTTGGCACGAATTTCGCTACTTTTATTTATTTAATACATTTCTTTATAAATTTATAAATTATTTAATATAAATCATACGAATCAATTGATTGAGATATTTATGAAAATGATGAGAATTTGTTATTATAATGTGGGTATTTATGAAATATTATCAGAGTTTATTTATTATGATTAATGACTTATATTAAAAAACAACTGAAAAATTCATTGAATGGTTGAAGCAGATATTTATTAATGGTTGAGATTGGTTTGTAAAGCTTATGCTAATGGTTGGATTTGTAGATGATTTTTGCTCTAGAAGAGTAATTGTGACATTGACTAGTCATTTTGGATGATTTTTTTTTTACTGTTTAGCTCACTTTTTTCTGTATAAACCAAAATAGCCGAGAGTTGGTACATACTCATTTTATGAACTTTTTAAAAATAAAATATGATTTTGGTGAATCATTTCACCAGCCATTAAAAAGATTTCGCAAGCCAAAAAGACACATGGTGAGTTGGCGCTCCCCTATTGCAAACCGTTGCCTCCATTTAACACCCAAGGGTTAGAAATGTAATTTACCATGAACCAAACTGTTATTGATTTGAATAATTGGAGCCATGTTAACTTGGTGCCCAAAGTCTGAAAAAATAAAACTGTATTTGATTTTCTCCGAGTTTTTTTTATATATTTTAATCATTTTTGGAACAACCAAAAATGCCCCTAATTTAGCTTCAATGTTACAAACTTTCAAAAAATAAAGCATTTTTGATTTACGCATCTAAACCCTCGTTTTGTTCTGATATTTAATAACGATATATGAATGATGTACCCATTCAGATGAACCATTCAAAAATTGGTCCCGTCGTTTAGTAACCTATCACCAAAGCCAACCATCGCATGCCCTTCCATTTCGCAACCTTCGAATCCTCCAAAAATCTCTCGAAAACTTAACCTCTATAATTTGGCTCATCGAACTTCGTTTTCCTACTCACAAATACGACTTTCGTTTAGTTTTGACCTTCACAAAACGCTTACTTCAAATCTATTAGGTCAATGAAACAGATTTCATTATTAAGTCACTGACCTCACAATTACAAAATGAGACTAAAGTTTCAAAACAAACATTTTTTTTAATATAAACTAAGTCAGTATGACGATCCAAAACCCTACTTTAATAAACAGTAAAAGTAGGTTTTTTTTATTAACAAATTTCAACCATAATATCATGGGTTTGTTTATGAGATATTTAGTAATAGTTGATAAGATTGAATACACAAAAGAAATGCATTAGTTTTATGTCTCCCAATTGGCATCAACTCTTCAACATAAAATGATTGCTAAAACAATTGGTAACTGAAAACAGGATCACAAATAGGCTTCATCATCATCATCATCATCATCATGATGTTGTGTAGTTCATGCCATACATAACCATGACTAAGACATCCACTTATTTGACCACACAAACAACTTACCATTGGGATATTTATGAAGGCAAAATAATGTACAAAATATCTTTTTCCTAATTTTGAATTTATTTTATACTATTTTTATTACATAAAGTACAAGTTATTAAGGCATAATCGAGTTAGATATATATGGTAATTTTGATGTGGACTTTTTTTTATAATAACAGAGTAGGATTTGAATACAAGATTTCGGCTATGCACATAAAAAACTTTCTTAACATCTAATACAAACAATTCCTAAGATAACCTCTAATTTCATCTCCATTCTATATATTAAATTAACTCTTTTGAGTGTGTATATATATATATATATATATATATATATATATCTCGATATTTTTGCAAGTTAATCAAACTATTGATGTAACATATTACATGTTATATATTTTTTTGATCCCTATTTAGACGTTAGTTTAAACTGCTTAAGAATGAAAGTCATACAACTATAATACTCTTTTATTTTTGAGTTGAAGAAAATGTTGGACTCTTTAAATCTTTAAGCCAACATGGAGCTATGGGGTTCCATTACCTTTGCACATATACACATGTATACACACATATACTTTATAATATATATATATATATATATATAGGGTTGGGTTTACGTAAGACCAATGGTTCTTCGTGAGACCCGTAAGACCAATTTATGTTCATTGATCAACTTTATAAACTAATGATCTAATGGTCTAAAGTTGCACGGTGGCAATTTTGTGATTATTGAGAAGTCTCGTGGCGTTTATGAATGTTCAGATCTGACTTAAAGATCTAATCCAAGGGTTGATAATTGGTTTTACGGGTCTCACGAAAAACCATTGGTCTCACATGATCCCAAAGTCTATATATATGTGTACTGCTAGTGAGAGGGAGAGATGATTTTAAAACAAAACATAAGAAAATAGAGAATAGAACGACATACTCTATTTCAACCGTTGGATCTAAGAAATAAATAGTTGACATTTAAATGTAACTGTTCTTATTCTTCTTAATTGTTTGATTAAAAAGGTCAATAATTAATAAAGTATTTTATGTTCTTTGTATTCAAGGTTCTTCTCCAAACCCACGTATCTTTATTTTTCAAAAAAAGCATGATTACAGTTTTATTTAATTTCTCACAATAATCAATATGATTATAACGCAACCATATTTTTTTCCGTGTTACAGAACGAAGTAAACACAAGTCAACATCGAAAGAGAAAGAAAATAATGGAGTGAAAAAAAAGATGAAAGTGACTTAAGAAGTTGGTAAGAATCAAACATGGAACATGGAGGAAAAGAAGATTGTATCCTTGTATTTTGGACCATTCCCAAAATTCCAACCTCTTTTCAAAATCTTCAATTTAAAAAAAAAATATTCAAAGTGATGTTACTGGAATCATGTATTAAAACTGTAAAAAAATAATTTATAGTATTTATGTATGTAAAAAGGAATTGAGTAGGTAATGATGCATTTAACTTATCCTTTTTTTAAAATAGGTTTTTACGATGTTTCAAAACTTTAGTCTAAAATTAGGGTATTTTATGAAATAAGGGTGCATTTTGCAGATCGAATGCATTTCCATACATTTAGCAGGTGGTCAATTAATCGGCTCGCATAACGGGTTGGATATCCAGATTAATAATAAAAAAAATCTTAAACTCTATTCCGTAGGAAATTAACGAATACATTTTGGTTTGATTTTGTTCAAAATTCCGTCCACTCCGTGCTTCACATGGGAAGACTTTTTTATTAGGTGTCAATCAAATCAATAAATGTTTGGTCTTTGTTTTCTTTAAATAAATATATAACTTTTCATTTTATTATTTAAAAATATAAATTATTCTTTTCATGACGTAATAATGTAGATCTATGAACATATTATTACAAGACGTTGATAACACTGATTTTATATGATGTGAAAACATATTTTCTTGTATTTGTCTCTTTTCGTTGGAAGCGGATTTGAACCGCTAAAACAAAATACTCAACCACAAAGATGATATCTGGTTGGTTTGAGTTTTGATTTCAAAGGTCAAAAGTGTCTAGAGGTCCCATATTCGGATCCAATGAGAAATGAAAATCTCCTTGTGGCCACGGAAGTTCAAATGTGGTAATTCGAGGCTACTCGCAAAGCGGATGGTCGCACTGAGATTAGTTGACTCGCATAACAAGTTGGATATCAGGTTTAATAAAAAAATACTCAAACATGTACACAATTATCTCATTTTAAGTTACAAGTTTGATACATGGGAAGTCATCGCATTTGAACCTCCGTGACTACAAGGGGATTTTTATTTCTCCTTGGATTTGAACCTGAGATCTGCTGGTACTTTTGACCTTTGGAGTCAAGCTCAAACCAATCAGGCACCACCTTTGTGGTTACTTGCATGGAAATTAATGTTTACATAAATGGTTTTATGTCGAAGGTCACAACTTAATTGCACAAACAAGTTGTTGAGTATTTTTTCTTTTGTTATGGTCTACATACCGTCTTACACGTCTTGATTCAACGAATGATGGTTTAAATCTAGACGTAAGTAACTGGATCAAGTACGTAATTTAACCTTTTTAGTTTGTAGTCATATTTATGTCAGATATCATATTATCAGACGGCGTTTTAACCGGTTTTCAAGTGGGAAATTAATCAACATCAAAAAACGATGTCACAACACTTATGGTTGAACCTTGCATTAATTCTCTTCAATTAAATATTTTCCAAAATTACGTATTAGGTAGGGTGTTTACATAATCGAAATAAAAAATTGATTAATATGCATCATATAAATATTAGGTTACAATGAATTGACCTTTTTCGCAGTTAGTTGACCAAACTTCAGAAAATGTTAGGGTTTCAACTTTCAGTTAGGTTTGGTTTTGATTTAAGTCCATTATTTTAACTTGGACGACGATCTGAAAACCGAATTAAGAAAAAATTAGACCCAACGTCGATAGTATACTCGCATACTAGTTTATTATATCTGATTTCAAATTACGCCAGATATATAACAAGATTAACTAATGATGCTTCTTTATTATCGAGTTCATTAACTAACGGAAATAGCAAGTCGTTATTTGGGTTAAAATTGCAATCCAACCAAACCATAGGGGGCTTAAATGAGTATTTGATAAATATGAGGGTTCCCTTTGTAGTAAATCCATAATCAAGGGTCTATTGAAACTCCCCTATAAAATCATCTGTCCCTTCTAAATCCCTTTCATTCATTGTCTGCACTGTTCTGCCTCTTCCAATCCCCTCCCATCACAAACTCACCATTTTTTTTCTTGTAGATTCTTCCAAGTTCATCAAAACCCACAAAGATCTTCGATCTTTTTTCAAACAATTTCTATCCAACATTAGGGAATTTCGATTTTCTTGATTCTACGTTTGTCTATGAGACAAACAATGAGATTTCGAGGAGATATTTACAACGATAGGAGAACAGATAAATACAGAGTGTCGACAGGTTCTAGAGAGAGAAAGACAGAAAAGGAGCACATGATTTTAAGCTGAGTTGAATTTTAGGGGTTTATTCTTCTTCTGCTTAAGTAGTATAGTTGATGATGGCGTGAGGATTAGTGACCTTCAATTGTTAGTTTCTTCACAGTTCATGTTTGATTTTCGGTTTAACTGAGAAATTTGTAGTGGAATTAGAGAATTTTTTCGAAAGAAATGATGACTCCTGGGGTCAATTTGGTGATGACTGTAATCGGATTTACGGTGAGTACTATGTTCATCGTCTTCGTGTGTACCAGACTCATCTGTGCTCGTATTCATTACATATCATCAAGACGATCCTTTCGTTTGTCTTCTAGATCTGATCTCAACGCTGTAAGTCTATCTCTTCATCTTGGTCTTTGATCTGTTCTATCAATTTATTCAGAAACCCCATCTCACATTCAACTCCATTACTGAATCAATTGAGAACTGATACTAATTTTTCATAATAATTTCAATTACGATTTGCAAAAAAACCGATGATCCAAAAGAAAAATTCACAACGGTAAACAGTAAATTCCCCAAATCTAGGAGTACAAGTTTCTCCCAAAACAGTGTAAATAGCTAACTTCCTAATTCCCCTTTATCAATTTTGGTATTCTGAATTTGGGTATGTGAAAAGTGGTCTCAAGAAATCCTTTCGGTGAATGGCTGATGATGAAAAGCAAAAAATGCACTCAGAAAGGGCATAATTTTGCAACTTTCAGTCTTGTGATTATTCTTGAAGTGGTACTTATCATGGCCAAGATAAGATATATGGGGGTCCAAGAATATTATCAGATTAGGCATCAAACTTTGTTTCTATCCAACTTTAGAATCTTTAAGCAACGACTGTATACCAAACAGTTGTCTGTGAAACTTAAACTAGATTGTGTTGGGTTCTTGGTGTTTCCACTCATGTTGTTCTTTGATTCTTGTTGTCTTTTCAACAAATTGGTTTATGATCCAATGATTGTGTTTTCTTGGTTTTGATCATCGCGATTCCTATGATGATACAGTTGGAGCGTGGTGCTGAACCTCTCGTTGCAGCAAGCTTTCCTACGAAGAAGTACAGCGATCCGTTCTTTTCTTGTGCAAAAGATGCTCAGTAAGTAGACTTTCAGTAAACTTTCTAAAGAGGCGAGATAAGTTCATAATACTTGCTGAAAATTGCATTTCTGATTCGGGTTTTACATATGCTTTTAGGATTGTGTTACAAGAACGTATTGCAGGTTGTGATTAGTGAGATGGTTTATCTGTTTTCGTTTCATTGGCCTATTTGATAAAAAAGTCTCTTTACGGCTCCGCACGTAATCTTTAAGTACAAGATTCATTCTTTATCACTTATATCACTCTATTCTTCCTTCTTGTGGAAAAAATCGATCTGGGCATCGAACTTTTTCCCAAGAACAAACGTACCCACAACAATTTTGAGGTTGCAAAATGAAAGCGGACCGGTTTGACGTGGAAGGTCAAAACTTTTCGAATGGAGCGAGGTCAACACTTGTTCTTGAGCTATTGCTGTTGCTTAAAGGAATTAATGTTGTGTATTATATCGACATCAAAGTCAAATCAGTACTTAATTGTCTTTGAGTAGAAGTAATTAACAGCATATAATCTAACAGATCCCATCTTAAAGAAATTTTAGTCCATAGATTTTCATGGGTTGACAATCTTGCCTTGTTGACTTTTTGACCATTTGACTTGTAGATTGCGTGGGTGGGATAGATAGGGTTCGTTTAGTTTGTTTCGGTTTATGCTAATCAATGTTTTATTTGACTTTGTAGATGCGTGGTTTGTCTTTCGGACTATCAGGCAGACGATACGCTCCGCATTCTGCCATTTTGTGGACACTTTTTCCATTCAACGTGTATCGACATATGGCTGCAGCAGCACTGCACGTGTCCGGTGTGTCGAGTCTCGTTACGTGAGATCTTCGAGAGGCGGTGCTTGATGCAGCCCATGTTCAGTTCGGCGGTTAGATTTTCGTCAAGAGGCGATGACGGTCATAGGATGGACCCCACCACCGATGGTCAACTCCAGTCAACTGATAATGAACAAGAAGTTAGACCGGACAACTCAAACACGAACGGGAACAGTTCTGGTGGCTCGAAAAATTCAACGAACAAACGATTCGAAAGCCCCTCAGATGCGTAGGTGGTCACAGTAAATGAGTGATGGTAAAAGTATCAAAGATGTGCAAGGGCATTATCGTCTTTTGTCTACTACTAGTATTTGTAAATATTGAAAAATCAAAAGATTGTTTTTATTATAGTTGTATGCATATATAGAAGGTTGACTTTTTTTGTATTGACCATGTCTAATGTTGTTTGGTTACAACATTTGTGTCATGTTTTATGGATATGTTACTAATGACAATTGGATTGATCGAAAACGATAATCGTATGATGCTCCTTCTGGTCTTTAATGTGTATGCACTAGAGATGGCCAAATGAGCCCGGCCCGGCCCGGGACCGCCGGAGGACCGGGACCGGGACCGACAAAGGACCGGCCCGGGACCGGTAAGGACCGGTTATGGGACCGAAAACCGGGACCGGTTGAGGTTTTTGGTAGTTTCGTGGGACCGGCACCGGTTATGGGACCAACTATGGCCCGGTCCGAAAATTCAATTAATTTTATAAATAAATGTATTTTTAAATAATTTTATAATGCATTTTTATAAGAAAACGTAATTTTAATTATATTAAAACGCATTTTTAAAGTGTATTTAAGTGATCCAATTGTAAATTTTATAATGTATTAAAAATACATATCATTAAAAAAATAAAATAAAATATCTTATTTTTTTAATGAAGGACCGGGACCGGGACAGGGACCGGCGGCCCATAACCGGTTATAAAGTACCTATACCGGTCCAATCATTTTCGACCGGGACCGGGACCGAGACCGGGACCGGTTACGCCGGGACCGGTTATGGCCGGTTATGAGAATGGTGAGGACCGATTGGGACCGGCCCGGGACCGGTTTTTGGCCATCTCTAGTATGCACTCCCGATAAAAAAATAGGAGCACGAGGCAACATGGTCTGAACCACAACGAGACACGCAAGCCCGTTTATGAAGGATTACGAGCCCATTTGTAACATGGTCCAAATGTTCATTTGGACGTTATTTTTAAAAAAATAAATTAAAATGGACTATTTTTTAACAATGAACTTTGTAATTTCAGACGTCGATACTTGACCTTTGAAAATTATCTACACTATATTATAAAGCATTTGATAAAAAAATTTAAAAACTATTTTTACGCATTAAGTACTGTATATTGATGCATATTACTTAAAATTCAAGATTACAAGTAAATTATGCATAATTACAATTTATTAAAGCTCTATGTTTGAATTCGTGTAACAAACTGTGGATAAACATAATCAAATAAAGGATAAACATCTCATTTTAAAATATAATTAGGATAATTATCGAGTTATAATAAAATAATTAATTATTATTTTTATAAGAAAATTATATTATCAAACCAAATATTAATTACTTCGTTATTGAACCTAAGTTAAATTATAATAAAAAAAATTGAACTAAAAAAATTACACAAAAAATATGAATTTCAAATAGTTAATTTGATACTAATATCGATTTATTTTTGTCAAATTTTTATGATATCTTCAAGTTTATATTTTATTCAAAATAAAAACATCATCGTTTTTTCAAAATCATATAAGACCATACTATAACATCGACTGAGATAAATATTAAAATGAAATATTAAAATCAAAATGTCTCTAGCTGCATTGCGTGAGTACCCTTCTAGTAATAAAATAGTAGTCGTGTAATGTATCGAGACACATCTTGATTTCAGTGTTTCGTTTTATTCTTTTTTTTATGTCGATATAATATGGTTTTATGTAGTTTTAAGAAAACGATAATGTTTTTATTTTTTAATAAAATATAAATTTGAAAATAATATAAAATTTTGAAGAAAAAAAATCGATATCAGTATTAAATTAATCTTTTTAAAAGTTCTTGTTTTTTGTGTAATTTATTAATTCAAATATTTTTATTATAATTTAATTTAGGTTTAGTAACGAAGTAATTTAATTTAGATCTAATAATATATTTTTTTATAAAAATAATAACTAAGTATTATGTTAGAACTCAATAATTATTCTGATTATATTTTATATTTTTTGTATTTAAATGAGATGTTTATCCATTATTTGATTATTGTTTATCTGTGGTTAGTTACATGGATTCAAATATGGAGTTTTAATAAGTTGTACTTATGCATAATTTACTTGTAATATTAAATTGTAAGTAATATGCATTAATAAACAGTATTTCACGCATAAAAAATGAGTTTTAAGAGTTTTTATCAAATGTTTTATAATATAGTATAGATAATAACATCTTTTAATTAAATATACATATAAAAAAACAAAAATCACTTCATAAAAATCTGAAAATGATAATTGATACTTTTAATCTAGATTTTGATGTTTTCATTATTTATTTAAGACCCGTTTATTAGCAGCTTAATGAGTGTAGTGAGACACACAACTCATTCGGTCAGTTATATATAATTGTTTGGTAGTGATTAATTATATAAAAATGTGTTATTCAGTAAGTTTTTGAGGAGAGTTGTATGTAGAAATCTTAGGGGCCGTTTACTTAAATGTTTACCGGGTAAGCGCTTATCTTTAGGAGTTAACACTATAATTTATTTTACCGAGAAAGATTATAGTACATCAAATTGTAGCGTATGCAATAATTTACCCGGGTAAGAGTCGTCACCCTTACTTACCGAGTAAGACTCTTCATCTTTATCGTTATTCTTACTGGGTAAGATTTTTGACCTTTGTCATGTTCATCTGGTAAGAAAAATTACCCGGTAAGCACTTTCCGCGTAAACGTTTAGTAAACGGTTTTTCCTTCCAAATATGTCCCTTCTAATTAAAAAAGACGTTCCATCCATTTATGAAAAAACCTTCTCAAACAAAAAATATCCAAATCTATATAGAAAGTTTAGCCAACATAAACAACGTTATCCATACCTAACTTAATGGAAAAAACCAACATATCACCTCCTTTACACTTTGTCTTAAGAAAAAAAAATTGATTTAATTGATTTTAATTGAAATAATTTACAAGCCAATTGACTTCGAATTTAATTTTAATTATTTTAAATAACAACCTTATCAAACAAATTTTATTTTATTTATATAACAATGCTCACAATTCTATTAAACACTATAAAATATGTTCAAACCAAATTATATGTATTTAAAAAAATTCACTCAAAAATAATACTTAAAGATAATAAGATATATATATATATATATATATATATATA